TAAAATTTCAATTTATAAACTAAAAGTTCAATTCATATCCAAAAAGTTCAAATCATATCCTAAAATTACAACTTATAAACTACAAGTCCAATTCATAAACTAAAATTCCAATACATAAACTAAAAATCCAATTCATATCCTAAAAGTTTGATTCATAAACTAAAAGTCCAATTCATATCCTAAAATACTCAATTTATAAACTAAAAGTTCAATTCATAAACTAAAAGTCTAATTCATATCCTAAACCCTAGATTCTAACTAAACTACCAAAACAATACAAAGTATAATTCAAATCTAACTAAACTAAATTCAACACTAATTAAACTAATTAGTTAATAAAATTAATTAACAAAACTAATTAAAACAAGACCTAAACCCTAATCCTCAATAAAATACAATATTCAAAGAATTAAAACACTAATTGAAACAATAAAGTACAATATTGAAATAATTGAAACAAAAACTAGAAATAATAAAGATTCAAGGTTATAATTCAAACNTGACCGTTTGACCAAAATAGCGACCAATATTGGTCGCTATTTCTAAACAAAATTAAATAATTTTTTTCTTTTTTGGTTTTTAAATATTATACGCTATAAAAAATTATTATTAGCTATAAATATTTATTTTATTTGACTATAATTATTATAAATAATTATAAACTATAAGTATAATCTTTAAAAAAATTATATTAACTAGGTAATTACTTTTAATAGATTATAATAGCATGCATGTAAAGGAATTTTTTAAGTTATATTTAAGTATATGAGTAATTTCATACACACGCATAAACTATATTGCAATTGATGATCAATCTTATACATTACTACGTACGAATAATTAATGAATTGATAAACCAATATAATATTATTCTATTAATTGATATAATAGTATTCATTATTTGTATTATAGCAGAGTTAATAAATTACATTTATTCATCACTAGGTTATAAGTCGATGAATCAATTATAACAGATTAATTGATATAAGTCGAGACGTTTTGTTTTTAATATTCAACAATGCATCTGAGTAGGTTATAAGTCAATGAATTAATTTACAAGTGTATCAATCCCTAAAATATATATATAGATACACACACACACACACAGACACTTCACTGTAATACTATAACGTATATATAACTTGTTATAGTATATGTTAGTGTGTGTATATATATAACACACACACTTCGTGCTACTTTAACTATATATATAACATGTTATAGTATATGCTACTGTATTCATTATTTGTATTATATTAGAGTCAATGAATTACATTATTCATCACTAGGTTATAAGTCGATGAATCAATTATAATAGATTAATTGATATAAGTCGAGATGTCTTGTTTTTAATATTCAACGATGCATCTGAGTAGGTTATAAGTCGATGAATCAATTTACAAGTGTNTCACTAGGTTATAAGTCGATGAATAAATTATAGCAGATTAATTGATATAAGTCGATACGTTTTGTTTTTAATATTTAATGATGCATCTGATTATGTTATAAGTCTATGAATCAATTTACACATAGATATATTTGATGAAAAATTATATTTACTAATTAGGATCTTGGCAAGTCTATCAATCCCTAAAAGAATAACCTACTCAGATGAATCGTTGAACATTAAAAACAAAACGTCTCGACCTATATATATATAACACGCTTCGTTGTACTACTTTAACTACATATATAACATGTTAGAATATATTTAGTGTATTCATCCCTTGTATTACAAAAGTGTTAACGGATTACATTTATATTATTTAGATAGTAAATATAAAAGTGATTTTTAATTTTGATCAATGTTGACCTGAAAAGAGACCAACTTTGGTCGCTAATTATCCAAGCCAATTTTAAATAATATTTATTTATATTTTATAAAATATTTTAAATAATAATATAATTATTAAAACGTTATAACTGGGTCCGACATTAGAGACCAAAGTTGGTCGCTAATTTCAATATTTTTTTGACCAAGCAAGTCTGACCAGTCCGATCAACATGTTGACCACTTTACCGAACAAAAAGTGACCAACCTTAGTCGGTAAATTATTTAATAATTTTCTCCATATTAGAGACCAACGTTGGTCGCTTTTTTTGACCAACCAACTTTGGTCACAAATTTTTGGTCGATAATTCCCAGATTTCTAGTAGTGTAGAGGCAATTGTAATAGGTACTTAGAGTATTCAAGTTAGAGTTAACTTGAAGTTGTCGCAATAGTTAGAGGATGTTTGCCACAACGGGATTAGAGTCAATCCTAGGTTTACAAAAGTATTTTGTAAATGCAGTTTTTGGCTCCGTGATTTAGTGGAGAGTTTGGGAAAATCTTACTGAGAAGTAGGTCGTGTTTTTTTCACCTTTTGAGTCAGGTGTTTTTCACGTAAATACTTGTGTTCTTTACTTTCTGCATTTACTATTTTAGCAATAGTAGGTTAAGGAACACTTAGACGAATCAAGTCCTTCCATAATCAATTTAAGGGAAAATTGGACACCACACAAATCACCCTCTTGTATGGTATTAAAGTTAAAACATCAAATCTTTATACTACTACTTCTTTCACGTTTATCAAAACGCTTGTTATATCGATCAAGCACACCTAATTTAATCAAGCCTGAAAATATTTTTTCGTTGAGCCTTATTAGAGTTTATAGAACTTAAACCACTTTGTAAAAATAACATTAAACAAACACACACATTAGCATGTCTAGTTGAGTTGATATTTCGATCTTGATCATAGTTGGTCTTAACAAGATCAGAATTCATTCAGAGGTATTTAATATATCGTAACAAAATTAGATGAGTGAATTTTGAACTCGTGAATATCTTTGGATTTTGTTGAAAGAAGTGGACGAAATGAATAATAATTTAACAAGAAAAAGTTGGATTATATAATAGTACTAAACACTAGTGTGTCAATTGGTGCAGCACAAAATAAGGATCTGCCCTTGGACTTAGAAGTTATAATCCTGATGTTGTATTTGCTATTCTTGTTATTATTATTAGCTGCTAATAATAATAATTAGCATAAGACTATAGACAAAAAGTAGCAGTAGTGTCGTTATCCAAGTGAAAATACTCTTGACCAAATCCTTAATTGAAAATGACACGAAAGTCATTCCCTCTTTGGAAAGAAAATTTGGAATCATTATCAATTGCAGGAAAAAAAAATAGAAAAAAGGATAGAGATAACATTAATGACTGCAATTTGAAAAGGTACGTGTGTTAGGGGAGTAAGAATTAACTTAAATAGTCGTCTATCCAAGTGCTTAAACTTAAAATAGCTGGCAGATGTATAACATATGTATACTATATGTATAATATGTGTATAATAGTGTATAACCATTATATAATCTATGTATACTAGCTAAAAAAGTAAACATTAAATTCCACCAGTTATTTGTGTAAGGATCTCGAAATTGTTACGCAATAGCCGGCCGGATTCCATGTTTACTTTTTTAATCGGTGTATATAAATTATACATTAATTATACACAGTTATACATATATTATATATGAATTATACATATATTATACGTCCACCGACTATGATTAGCTTAAGAAATTAGGTAGGCGGTTAATCGGGTTAATCTTTCCAAACTAGGATCCTTACGAAAGGTTGTACATATATTTTCCTTTTCTCCCTCTCTTTTAGCTTTATTATTCTTTTTCTTAAATTCAATTATTCATTATCCAAAATCACTTATGTGACTAATCTAGATTCAGATCTGAGAGATCTACTAAGAGCGTAAAGCACTCTTTAACAGAGAATTGTACTCCTATCTTATATGGATAAATAACATTGAAATTAAATTAAGCTCTTCTTAATTAGACATAGATATCGCACATCGTCGGGTGACTGTATTGTTTTATTATATTGTATTGTTTGATGAATACATTATTTGGTAGATTGTATCGTTTGCTGTCATTTCATGATGTCACGCACCAAGAAAACAAGATGATTATTTAATACTAAGGAATATTGCTAAAAAAAAGGATATATAAAAGAGTAGGATAAAGTATAAAATATGATTATTTAATATTAAGGAAGGGAAGATGAGAGAAAAAAGCAAGGTGACGACGCCACCACACCAAATCCGTCATTTCATAAAGTGACACTTTTCATCGCTACGTAACGACAGATACAATAAAATTTAAATAACAATTAAAACAAATATTGTATTTAAGGTAACAATATGATACAATACGATAGGTAACAACCATCCAAACAAGTTGTTAAATAGGTAGAGAATAATATGTCCATATGTCAGCCTTCTATTGTCCTTTTGAATTAACCAAAATCCAATTAGTGAAAAAAAAAAATCAACTAAATCCAATTCAAAAGGGTTTTATCTCCACCTCCCATTTCCCTCCTTTTTTTCCCTCCGTTTCCAATTATTTCTCAAATTTTCTTCCTCCCCCACTTGCCACTCTACCCGTAAAAATAGCCATAACGCTATAGTACATAAGTACATGACCACAAGTTTGAAGTGAATTAGTCAGTATTAAGGGTTTCAAATAACAGAAGACGTTCGACTTCACTCAACGAGTGTCAGTTATTTGCATGACGTTATCAAATTCAATTAACGTAAAAACTTCGTGTCACGTCTGTTTTAATGCATGATCAAGTGAACTTTTTTCTTTTATACATGCTAAATTCTTCGCTTTTCTTCTAATTTTGATGTCAAATGTAGATCACATTATCGTAATTGGAGCAAATGCATTCACTATTTTCATCTCGAATTATATATTTAACGTGAGTATTCTTTAACTCACACGTAAGGTGTCATTTCTTGTGGCAGTGACACTTCATATCCATTACCTTAAAGTTTTGAATTCTGATTCTGCCACTGATAGTTAATGTCAACTCTAAGTAATTCTCCCCTCCCGATCACCACTTCCCCTACCGCCACCACTACCGACGCCACCAACCGCCGCCTCTCTCTCTCAAAATGGAAAGGTGCAAAACTAATACCACTAGCAATATCATTAGCAATAGGCTTACTCTTCCGATGATTCTGCTAGGAAACTTGGTGCTTATCTTATTCAAGCTCAATTGCAGGTTAGCATTAATTTTATTCTTTACTTTTATTTACTAAATAGTAGTATAGTACTAGTATGTTTTATGATTTTAACTTATATATACTGACAACGTATATTTTTACACTATTTGTTGACTATAACTTGTTATAGTAGATGACCAGTCTTATTTGCATTGTCAGTGTATAAGGTTCTTATATTAGGGCAGCCCGGTGCACTAAATTCCCTCTACGCGCAGGGTCCAGGGAAGGTCCGAACCACGAGGGTCTATTGTACGCAGCCTTACCCTATATTTCTGCAAGAGACTGTTTCCAAGGCTCGAACGAGTCACCATTATGTTTCTTATATTGTAAGGTCAAATTCACATATAACAATAAACAACTTTTCATAAGACATTTGATATGGTAACCTAAAATAGTAACTTGCTATAACAATATGTAACTTCTTCATAAAAAAAAGTCATGTTACTAATAACACTTTTTATGAATGATTATATGTAATAACAATAGTAATATTCCCAGTATATTTCATAAGTGGATATGGGGAGGGTTATTTGTGTGCAGATCTTACTCCTTCTTGGGCAAGTAAAAAAACTGTTTCCGATAGATCTTTAGCTCTTACAAATGATTATATATAATTATTCTTTACATGATCTGATATTATAAAAATTAAATAAGTTTTTGAAAATAAGAAGATCAACACAAAGTTTAAATACTAAAATAAATTGTTTTAAGCATAATATTAATTTGGTATATGACTCAAAAAAAAAAAAAAAACCAACTGCCCACTATACTTCTTTTAGATTTAGTTAATTAATTTTAATATTCAGATGGAAGGGGAGCCTTGGCATAACTAGTAAAGTTGCTGTCATATGGAGGTCACGAGTTTAAGCCGTGGAAACCACCTCTTGCAGAAATGTAGGGTAACGAGTTGCGTACAATAAACCCTTATGGTCCGGCTTTTTACCGGATCCCCGCATAGCAAGAGCTTAATGCACCGGGCCCCAGTTTTAATATTCAGATGTTTAGTATTGTGTCTTGTATATTTGAATTCCATTTCTGATAATTCCTATTGTGGTAGTATTTCAATATTTTTGTGGGCATGCAAGTGGCTACATAAATAGTTATGTGGCTTGATCTCTTTGAAGCTATGGCCAAGTGTATAGAGCCCCTGCCAAATGTCTTGTGCGTGGAAAGTTTTTGACAAGTAGATGAACACTTGTCAGTTTCTTATACAAATCTTATAATTATAAATACTCACTTCCTATATTATCCGAAGACATACCAATAAATATTTTGTTCTCTCATGATTGCTAATGATTAGTAATTATCACTACAAGCCTTCTCATTTTTAATTACGTCTAGCCTTTTGTGTGTTCCAATTTCTTTTATAACCTGTGTGTATTTCCTAATTCCAAACTTGTCGGTGTTATTTAATTTTGTTGATTCCGGTATCCTCTAAATAAATAGAGGTATGCTTGTTTAATCCTAGGGAAACATTTCACATTGCTAAAATAGTTTCTTAAGATAGTGCCTAGCACTGCTCAAGTTAATTTGTGTATTTTCGCTCACAAATAATATTATTGCAGTATTATGATTGTTTTTTCCGGTGTCATTTCCCTACACCTATCACTAATGCTATTTATGTTGTGATGCACTTACAGGCTTCTAATAGCTCAAGTGCCTTATTCCTAACAGCTGCTGCAAATAACTTACTGTGTTTAAAATTGGCTGAGGGGTTAGGAGTGAAAACATCAAGTAAATGGCTAACTTGGTTCAAGGTTTCAAGCATACCAGCAATTATATCTCTTCTAGCAAGTCCAGCTATTCTATACAAGATTTTCCCTCTAGAAATGAAGAACACACCAGATGCTCCATTAATGGCTAGAAGGAAACTGGAGCAGATGGGTCCCATCAAAAGTGATCAGTGGGTTATGATGATAGTCATGCTTGTAACTGTTGCATTATGGATTTCTGGGTAATGTTCAAATACTTATGTTTTTATGTGTTCAAATACGGATGGGTCCCTAATGTAGTTTAGTCGTATGTTGCTCGGACTCTCCGAAAATGTTGCCGGATGTGTGTCGGATTCTCTAAAAATAAGATCCGACAAGGGTGCAGCATCATTTTGGAACGTCCGTGCAACATAGAATGTAGCATGAAGGTAATACAAAATCAAGTTATATATACTGGTGAATGTGCTATCTCTATATTAGATGGTGCAATCACTATTTTTCACACTCAAGAAGAAATTTTCTAGTCTTAGGTTCTCAAAGTTAAGGAAATAGACTGTGGGGCTAGCTCAATCTTAAAAGCGGAATGCCCAGTTGTCTCTTTGTATGATTTTGGACAATATCACCTCAACAATATAGCTTTTATTTGGGGTTAATTTAAGCCCAAACGTTCATTTTCTTAACATGTTATTAGAGCCATACGGATCCTTATTCTTGCTTTACCCTATGTTAGGCTCTTATATTATGTTTTTGTTGCTCCGGATGTCCTCCCTGTGTGTGTGCGCTGACGGAGCGAAGGATGTTAGAGTATCCTATATTAGTTGAGAGAATGAGTTGTTGTCTCCTTAATATGGTCTCGGGCGACACCACTCATGAACTAGATTCTGGGATTGAGTTACACTCGAGGTCCATTTTCTTAACAATCAGCATGATATTTACTTCTTTAGATTTACTAGTACTGCAATAATGAGCGAGGTAGCCTGATGCATAAAAGAACATTTCTTGGTCCAAAAGATTAGAGCTTTTGTTGTGTTTATATATACTTAAATACATGTGCTTCATATCCCTCTGCTCATGACCAGATTAACCTCTGCACTAGTCTTAAAATGTTGCCATGTCTTTTCTTTATTTCTCTATTTCATTGTAGCCTATGAAGGCCGGGAGCTTTGGAGCAACAGTTAAGTTGTCTCTGTATAACCTATAGGTCACGGGTTTGAGCCGTGAAATTAGTCACTGGTACTTGCATCAGGGTAGGCTGCCTACTGATGGAACATGCAACTTTGTGGCTGCTTCTACAGCTTGAACCTGTGACTTATAAGTCACACGGAGACAACTTTACCGTTGCTCCAAGGTATCAGGGCCCCTCGTGAACGCGGGATGCTTTGTACACCGGCCTGCCTTTTTTTTTTCTTCTCCTCCTCATTGTAGCCTATGTTTGATAATGAAACAACTTTCCATTTAATACAGAGAGGCTCTTGGGCTAGCAAGTGTTATCACAGCAATGCTAGGATTGTCACTACTTTTGGCATTTGGAATACTTACTTGGGATGATTGCTTAAGTGAAAAATCTGCATGGGATACCTTAGCTTGGTTTGGAGTTTTAATAGGGATGGCAACACAATTAACTACTCTTGGAGTTGTTGCTTGGATGTCAAATGTTGTGGCTAATTTCCTCAACTCTCTTTCACTACATTGGTTTGGAGCATTTTGTATACTTCTAGGAACATATTACTTCATTCACTACTTGTTTGCTAGTCAAACTGCTCATGTTGCAGCTTTGTACCCAGCATTACTTGGAATGTGTTTGGCATCAAAAATTCCAAATCTTCTTGCTACATTGTTATTGGGATACTTCAGTAATCTTTTTGGTGCATTGACACATTATAGCAGTGGTCAAGCTGCAGTATATTATGGAGGTATTTTCTTCAAGTATATTTGATAAATTATCTCCATTAAGATTATGAAGGGGAGCCTTGGAGTAACGGTAAAGTTGTTTCCTTGTGACTTATAAGTCACGGGTTCTAGCCATGAAAACAGTCACTAATGCTTACACTTAGTGTAGACTGTCTACATCACACCCTCTTGGGGCGCGACCCTTCCTCGGACCCTGCGTAAACGCGGGATGCCTTACGCACTGAGATGCTCTATCTCCATTAAGGGGAGCCTTGGAGCAACAGTAAAGTTGTCTTCGTGTGATCTATAGATCACGGGTTCGAGCCGTGGAAGCAGCCACTGATGTTTGCATTAGGGTAGATTGTCTACATCACACTCTCTTGAGGTGCGGCCCTTCCCCGGACCTGCGTAAACACGAGATGCCTTGTACACCAGGATGCCCTATCTCCATTAAGGGGGGCCTTGGAGCAACGGTAAAATTATCTTTGTATGACCTATAGGTCACGGGTTCGAGTCGTGGAAGCAGCCACTAATGCTTGCATTAGGGTAGACTGTCTACATCACACCCTCTTGGGGTACGGCCCCTCCTCGAGCTCTGCATAAACGCAGGATACCTTATATCTTATCTTCATTAAGATTATCTCTAAGCAGTCTAAGATAACAGTTATCTATATTTTGGTAACTGTTCTCTCTTTTCATTTATGTTTTAGGAAGTTGAATAATTAATCTCATTTGTTGCACTTTGGCAGCTGGTTATGTGGAACTACGCGATGTCTTCAAAATGGGGATTACCATAGCTCTTATTAATATTGCCATATGGGGATTAGTAGGAGCTGGTTGGTGGAAGATTCTTGGCCTTTACTGAGACTGAAAAATATGCAAGTGAATCTTGTGTTAGAAAATATGGCAATATTGACAATAGAAGAACAGAAAACACTTGAAGATTTAAATACTGTGTCAATGTCAAGTCACTGTCTTAAAAGCGATTTCAGCTAGGCTAGGTGCAAATCGTTGAGATCAGTAGCTCCCAAAGGTTACACGACACTCTCAAACACGTGTACTCATGACCGGAAGTTCGGAATTTTGCATAAATACAATTGCCCAGAAACTTATTGAAGAACAAGAGAAAGAGAGGAATGTGTTTTCTGTGTTAGTATAGAAGAGAAATCAGAACTTGTATATACAAGTAAGGAGGCAATGGTTAGGTGGTAATAGCCAAGATCTGAAATGGCTGTAAGGTTAATTGTATTTATGGTTTAAATTCAGGAATAACATAATGACTGCTTTTAATTCCAGGGAATGAAAGTAAGCATGTATAAATTCGGAAATATTTCTGGTAGACTCAAAATATCAAAAATAATTTTTTTCAAAACATGATTTGGATTGGGTCTCACGTATATCTGACGCGCATGGGTCAGATTGTGGACCATTATATGTGCTTGTTTATTTCAAAACAGTTTGATTGGTACAAGAGGCTATACTTTCTTAATATTATTGGTACCAGTATCTGAGCTTGTTTATTTTAGCTGATTACCATTCATTTTAACACGTTAAGCCTTGTTGCATCATTAGATTAAATGGGTGAAATCATCCACAATCCACTGCCTTGATCAACTTGGCTACATTCTCCTCGAGATACGCAATAATGCCCTTGATAGGCACTCCAGAACCCACCAACTCTCGTGAAAACCTAGGTAAGTCGGTCCTCCATTCATGTAACCCGGGGTATGGATCACGAGACACTTGGCTGCAAGTGAATTTACCAGATCAAGCATAAAGCAGATGGAGTTTGAGGGGGAGTGTAGTATCATGTATTATTATAAAGTGATAATGATGCTCTTTCTGTTCTGTGCTTTCTTCTTGATTTGCGCCTTGGTAGTCAAGGAACGCGTCTGAAGAAGTGGCGGGCGCCCTCTAAGTTGACCACCCTCCTCCTCTCAACATTTACCTTTAGCTACTTTAAACTTGTCCCATAACATAGAAGAGGAAAAAGAAAGACCAGAGATATAAAAGACAAGAGATCTCTTACTGAATAAGCTCAATTTTTGCCCTGGTTCAAAGGCAAATGCTAGTTGGATTTTTTGTTCAAAATGAACCTCTTCTTTAGGATTGCTGAGACTTTGTCCTTACAGCTCTAAACAGTTGGACTTCTATTATGTAGCCTAAAATTGTGACAATGCTTCGTTTAGGCAGAATTTGTAGAAGTATTACTCCAAATGGTTGAAAATGAGAAGAGACCGAATTGCACAGATAGCATTTGAGAAATTGTAAGACTAATAGCTTATTTGGCCAAGCTTCTAAAATTTGCTTATTCGGAAAAATATTTTTTTCAAAAGTTCTTTTCAAAAAAGTACTTTTGATGAGAAGTAGTTCATGTTTGACTAATTAATTTGAAAATTACTTTTGAGCAACAATTAGTGTTTGACAAAGCTTTTAAAAAGTGCTTCTAAGTTATTTTTCAAAAAAGTGCTCTTGGGAGAAACTACTTTTTCTGCTTCTTCGAAACTACTTCTGCTTATACTCAAAAGCATTTTTTTTTCCTTCTAAAAACTTGGCCAAACACCTTAATTGTGGCAAAAAAGCATTTTTGACTAAAAAAAAAAAATCACTTTAGGCCAAAAAATAAGTTTGGCCAAACATGCTATAAATCTATGACTAGCTCAATGTGTGAAGACCTCCGGGTACTCTTATGTTCTATGAAAAGGAAATATGACTATTGTAAACTCTCTTATTTCTGATTCTGCATTAAACTCAATCAAAGAGCCAAAGAATGAACCATATGTTGCATAATTCTATCATTTTTATTAATCAAATAGTAAGTAACAACTACTCCGTATTTAGTAATTTAGATAACAAGTTATGCATTTTTCTTTTTTTTGGTTATAATTTCCAATTGGATGATTCAATAATCCAACCAACGGAAGATTTGATTTCATAGAATATTAAAGGATTCAATTTAGAAAATTAGAAGATAGATGCAACCTCAGCAAGATTGACACTCTTCTAGCTTTACCTATGCAACATTTTGGGATTGTTTTCCGCGGCTATTTTCTTTATTGCGTTTGCTTATATACTTTTCTCTATCTTTATTGCCAACCTAAAGGCACTAACGAATTCACTTATAAGGAAACTCATCAAATACAGATTTTTCGAGTCTTTCAAGAACTAGTGAAGCTTTAATTGAATTCTTTTTCAGCTCAGCTTAACGGATATCTGCATGTTGAACTTGGTTTTACCAAAGATACCTGGATTGGTACAACAGTTCATGCAGAATGTACAACACCGGATATTCTTAATTCTTAGCTACTTTAAATTTGGTATAAAAAAAAAAAGAAATTATTTTCTTGTAAAGTGAAAGGAGTGAAATCCAAAGCCCAAATCAGTTTTCTACTTTTTCCTTTACTTTTCCAAGTTTTCCCTTTAAACAGCACTCACAAAATAGAAAAAGGGAAAGTATGGAAAGCAAAGTTGCCTACCATTAAGGGGTCTACACTCTAAAAAGATTACTTTTTCATCAAAATCTTTTTCCTCCATTTGTAACTTTTTTATTTTAAATGTATTAATTAATCATTCCCTTTTTTCTATTTATTGATTCTTTGGACAATTCATAGGCCATATCAGCTACCTCAAGAAACAAAAAGATCACTCTCTTTTCCTACTTTCTAAAGTAGAGGGAAAAATATGTTCTTTATTTTATTGCTACTTTTATTTTCTTGTGCGGGTCAATTACTTTCACTTTTGAAAATTAAACTCAAAACTTAGCTATCTATCACTGTCTTCTTGAAAAGTATTTTGTATATATAAACATTCCAATACTATCCATGTGTTACATGCACATGTTGTTATCAAGGTTAATTCGGTCAGTTTTCACATAGTAAAATGCTCCAAGTTTTTTATCGAATTAATACATTAAGACAAATAGTGCATCGGAGAAAATTAAGTTATTTGTACTCCGGAGACTGATAAGGCGCCATAATTCTTTGATTGCTACTGATCAGTGTGGACGTGTATGACCATTTCACCTAAAAACTTAAGTTGTTAGAGAAAGCATACTTTATTTACTTAATTGTCTCTTCAATTAATACATTAATATAAAAATAATAAATATGAACCCATAACTTTAAAAATATAATGGGTTCAATGCTAAAATCTTTAAAAGTTGAACTCATATGATTTAAATCCTGGATCTAGGACCTCAGTCTGCCTCTAATACCTGAATAAAGTGTGTGATCATCTCATCAAAAAAATTAAGATATCAGAGAGCATACTTTATTCACTTAATTGTTTCTTTAATAATCAGGACAAGTTGGTTGGTTCGTTTCATCCTCCTAGTTATATAATTTTTTGTTTTTGTTTGTGATCGTGTTGCACAGAAAGTAGTTGTCTAGGAGTAGTTGTGAAACGTTAAATTTGTGTATAAAAAATTGTTAAAACTAATCCAACGGAAAACCATAGAATTTTAAATTCCTAATGTATGTTATTTATGGTAATCCTAAATCAATTGGTACTAATTAAATGATTATTGACTAACTTAAATAAATCACTTCTCATGTCTTAATATGGTTAGATACTTACAATTGCTTATCAAGAAGCAAAGTCACAATATTTGATTTCTAGGAATTTAAAGTCCACATTTAATAATCTACTCTATCCATATCTTCCTAGTAAATAACAAAATATAGCATTTTTATTTAACAGGTGGAAATTATTAATAAGATTATGATCTTAATGTCAAGATTAGTAGCTGGGATTAATTTTTCTGTTATAATGGGTGTGGAACCCCTAAGCAAGCTGCCATGGGAAAGAAGGAAAAAAAAGAAGTAAAAAGTAACTTTTTATTGAAAAATATTTTGAATTTGTCGGATTTATACTAGTTGATAAAAAGTCTGATTAACAAGTTTAAAATTTTGGCTTATTGTGAAAATTGACGACTGCTATTCTCTTGGAGGCGTTCTAGAACTGCTCCACTTTTGAAAATTGAGTGATTAAAAGGTGTTTCTTGCTAATTAATAACTAGGGGTTTTTTTCACTAGCCCGAGCCACAAATTATATACATTCGATAGCCGAAAAAATATATAAAATTGTATAATTTTTTTGGCTATTATTTTTAGAGCAGTTATACAGTGTCATTTTACCTGTATTAAATTTGAAATTGATTTATTCATTATTTGAATATTGGTATTAGATAATAATAATTTTATACCGAAATCTTGATATTATTTTTCATAGTTTGAACTAAATTTCTAAATCATAGGGTTGGTGGTCTTTTTCTTAATTTTAATTTTTGAGAAATTAATATTTTTAGCCGTTTCAAAATTAATAGCCGATAATATAAATTAATGAGCGTTTCACCGTAGCAGTTAAGTCATTGCAACTAGAGCAATACGCGGAGTTTCCAACTTGTAACTGAAAAACTAATTGAAATTCATTATATGGATCTTGATATATTAAGAAATTTATCAAAGCATTGCAAAGATATGGCAACTATTAAATTACTATTGCCTAGTTTATTTAGAGCCAATCATTTTCCTGTAGGTAGGGGTGTACAAAGGAAACCGACAAACCGTACCAACCCGATAGTCCGAGTCAAACAGAGAAAAAAAACCCGACTATGGTTTGGTTTGATTTGGTTTGGTGTTGGGGAAAAAACCCAACCATAATTGGTTTGGTTTGGTTTTAACTAAAGAAAGTCAAACCGAAACCAAACCAACCCGACATTACATATATAGAAATTTTAGATATATTTAATATATAAATATACTTATTGTGATGTAATTTATAAATATTTCTTAAATTTTTTTATAATTTTATCTTTTAAGGTATTATTTCAAGGTTGGACTTAGAACTTTTAAATGCTCCAATAAGTTTTATAGCCATTAATATTAGTAAATTAAATAATGCTAATANCAAGGTTGGACTTAGAACTTTTAAATGCTCCAATAAGTTTTATAGCCATTAATATTAGTAAATTAAATATTGCTAATAAAAGCCCAAACCAAAATCAAATCAATACTAATACTAACAAAAGACATTCAATTCAATATTACGAACGAGAATGT